CCCCAAAACCCCAAAACCCCAAAACCCCAAAACCCCAGAGAGGAGGTGAAATGTTGAAACAAATCTTGGTGAATATTTTTTCACTAAAGTTAAAATTTAAGAGTCAACCTTAGGATTACCATGCTGAAGATAATGTTCGATTTTTTCAAGCATTTCTTCAGCACTGTAATCGAAGTTGAGGGAAGCATCTTCTCCTCTCACTGCTACTGAAAATAAGTCGTAGGCTCGAGCAGCTTGGATCTCATCAGCAAAAGTTCCTATGTACTTCTTCGCCTTGTTGACATTGATAAGAGCTTGCCAATTAGAATTGTTTCTAGAGACACCAATATACTCAGATCGACGCTTGAGATGCTTCTTGTTAGCACTCTTGGCTTTCTTTTGAGTAGAAGGAAACTCAGTTATCTTTTCATTGAGGATACTTGATCTCAATTTAAGAAGATCTTCTCTGATATCAAATTTCCTTCTCTTACTTTTTGGCTTTCGTGAGATGTTCTGTTCCTCCATATATTCTTCGCTGTCTTCAGACATTGTTTCTCTCTCAAAAAATTTCCTCTGAGGTTTCTTTTGAGAAGTTTTTGGTTTAGATATTTTTGAGTGACAATCAGAGTTATCTTCCTGTAGCATTTGTCTTCTAAACAATAAGTAAGCATTCTGGAGTAAGAAAGCATGGCTTAAAGTGGCTATAAAATTTTAAACCTACTGTTGACACATGCTGTCTGTTGCAAAGGAAGTGGAGAGCAGTTTTAGCTGAGGAGAATTTAATCAATAATAAGGATTGTTTAATATATCCTCAGCGATGTGATCCACTCAGTACACTGAGCTGAGAGCTTGAATGAGGTCTGAATATTCCCACATTGACAGGGAAGCGGGATTTGTGTTGTGTGTAAAGTTAGAAAAATCCATTTTTATTATTATTTCTGTTTAATTTAATTTTTTAAATAGTTTTAAATGCCAGATTCAAAGACATTCTAATTCATTGGTGACACTGCATGTCGGAAAGAGACTTGGATTTTGATAATTTTATGAGTTCCATTGGATTGGTGAAATTTTTGAAGCACTTAGAAGCTCTTATTGAAGCCCTTTATATCTTGAGCCCACTTCTTGTTTCTTTCGACATTGAGAAACAGCAAAAATATTCAAGAGTTATCAAAAACTCAAGTTGCTGAAATCTTAACAGGCTCTTGAGTATGCAAAGAGCATTCTACCATGCTATATACTTTTTATTTCTTATTCTACTAATCCACTGCTTACTAGGATTGTCATAATCTCAGATAAACTGCTCAGGCAAATTTCTGATGAGAAAGCTTCTTGTAATTGATTTTTAGACGGACTCCTTCATTTAAAAATCCAAAATTATTTATGTTTTGGTTGCATTTCCTAAGTAAGAAAAAGGCATCTAGAGGAGGCAGATGAAAATTTGGGTGAATGTTTAGAGCTGTGAAGAAGATAAGAATCAAGTCTATGGAGGTTGATAGCCAGCCCTTTATCTTTGCCATCTTTTAATACTAGGATCTCTTTACAGCTTTAAAGTTTCCATAAATAATATTCTCTCATAAAACTTATGGTGAATAGTGCTCTGTGAGTTTTGAGGGTAAATAAAGCTTTAGACATATAATTAAACGATATTTAAAGCTCATCATAGTTGATTTGAGTCTATCAAACTTCTTAATAAAGTTGTGAGAATATCACCCATATTCACCATTAGCCGAAATTAGAATCCAAGTGAAATCCACTCTTGATATTTATAAATTCCAAATTTTACTAAATTCTGGATAAAACGTCCATCAAAACGGAGATATTGAAGAACAAGGCTCTAGAATATCTTATCATCTATAACTATAAAAGTATTTCAAACTTAGAGTTCTCAAGATTACTTCATACTTTAGGTTACTTCCCCACATAAAATAGTCAACTGAGGATGAGAATTTATGGTAACTTTTATTTGAGTGGGTAAACTACTGAACAAAAATCCGGAAAAAATAGTGTTTATTCGTAAAATAAATAAAATGAGGGTTCTGCAAGGTATGTCGACTCTTGAAGAGAAGCTTAGAGGTTTCTTTTTGATATGAATGCTCCTTGAGTTTAGTTAAGAGAGATATAAGATGACAGTAAGGTTGTATCGAATTTAGGGAGATTCCAGGTTTTATAAAAGTTAGGTGAATCAGGGTCTAAGTTTTAAGATAGCTGACATCAGATAGCCTAGCATATACCTTCTCTTGCTGACTCATTAATTGACATATAGCAATTTTGTGCAGGTGTTGATAGACACTTTGATCGTTAAAAATCTTCTTTGATGCTCAAAATAAGGAAAAAGTAAGATCTAAGTTGAATTTTTATGAGACTTTAAAGATTTTGAGAATCGAGGATTCAGACTTAGACTTATATACACAAAGTACAATCAAACATTCTCTCTGGGCTGAGTATCAAGAAAGCCGCATATGTTTCAAACAATAGAAACTTTACTGAGGCAAGACTCGCTCCCTTTTCTTCTTCAAGATAGAGGAGCATTTAAGATACTCCTTCAAGATGCAGCTCTAATTATTCTGCTTCCTATATTTCATATACTTTTTCTCTTTACGAGAAATCTTGTCGGATAAAAACATTTGGTATAAATTGATTTCAGATCTTATACATTTTAGCAAAGATTAAAAGGAGTATTTCGTTCAACTTCTAGAGATATCTTACACTAAGAGAAGGCTAAACTCCAAGAAAGATAATGAATTTAGTTTATGTGGCAAGCCTTGCCATGAAAGAGCTCTTTATTGACTATAAGAGAGGTAACTTGAAGATGCAAAAGACATATTTCCCAGAAAATAATTAAAACTAATTCTGAAACTTTTGGAAACTGAAGATTAAGAATGAGGGGAATCAAGCTTAAGGAGACTATAATAACCATAAGAACATTAAAGATCTAATAAAAGAAAGAGTATCCGATAGAGTAAATTTATTCTCAATATGAGAAATTCCTTCTGGAGATGATACTCTTCCTAGCAAAGGGGAAGGTTTATAAAATTGCAATAATCACATTTATTCATCAGAGAGTTATTCACATCCAAATAAACAAGACGACATATAAATTCAATAAGATCTCCCATATTGGGGTTTTGGGGTTTTGGGGTTTTGGGGTTTTGGGG